AAAAAAAAAAAAAAAAAAAAAAAGCAATATCAGCGTACACGCGGCAAATTTCAAAGCAAAAATGAAACGAAACTCAGGATTAACGCCAGAAACACTCATAGGCTATGGCTATGCAACCGCGGTAGAAGTTAAGTATCATAAACCAAAATAAATATAACAAAAACGCACACCACTCCCATGGAGGTATTGAGGTATCGAGCATCGAGAACAAAAACGCCTCTCCAAAGCCTGCTAACATCAGGGGGGAATCAAATGCCGGAGTGATCAAACCAGTAAAAATTATAAAAATACGACTCGTGTATGGTCATCAAAAATCAAAGCACCCACAGGTAATAAAGCAACCAGCATCTCGTTGGTATGTCCGTGATATGGTCAAATGTTGAATGTGGACCCAACTCAGCCCACTCCCAAAAACCTCCAGTCGGTTCCTTCTGGTTGGTCTAGCATTCGCATCGGTGGTTTGTACTCATAATTGCTGGGAAGATACGTTGACATCATAAGCGGATGCGCCTCCGTCATCGGCTGTTGTCCTGCATATGGCGCGGGTTGGTGATATGATTGCGCTGGCGGCACATAGTTCACGACGCGATTTGCCTCGTACCGCTGTTGCATCAACTGTAGGTACTGTTGCTCCACCTGTTGCTGCATTTGCTGTATCCCCAAAGGCGGCGAAACAGCAACGTTCTGAGTCACTAGGGACGGCGGTGCTGGCTGTGGCTCGGGGACCATCTGGGTCATTGGTAGGTTCTGTTGTTGCGGTGGTGGGTAAAAGTCGTGGCTGGGTGTCACAGACTGGGCATAAAATGGTTGCTGTGGCAGGATATACTGCTCATTCGGTATCGACATGCTAACGGGCGCTTGGTAGGAATGTTCTGAGGATGTATCTTCCGACGGCGGTCGAGCCATTGCCCCCGACGGATGAGAACGATGTTGATGCTTGGTCAAGGTGGTTTTGCGACAGAAGCTGTAGAAATCAATCAGTTAGCCAGTCCATCGCTATGCGTATGATCTTGTGCGCATGCACGCACATGTGCGCGCGCGAAACCGGCGCCACCGTAGCTAAGTACCTTCGTTCGCACGCGGGCTCCTGGCAAATATACGGTCGTTTTCCTGTATGGATTCTTCTATGGCGGGCTAAACTTGATGACTATGCGACATTAGCCAAGGCGATTCAGTTTTGGTACAGCAAACACTTACATCGGAAAATGCCTTGTGGCAGCCCTCATGATCGCAGACATGAGGTTTTTCTCCAGTATGTGTCCGGGAATGCACAGTCAACGCACTGCGTTGGATGAAACTCTTGTTGCAGTCTTGGACGGTGCAATGATAGGGCCGCTCATTGGTATGTATTCGATAATGTCTACAGAGATCCGATTTGCGATTAAACGACTGCCACCGTCAGCTTCCAATATTCTCGATTCTCTCACCAGAACAAACTTACTTTCCCGCAGTGCTCCCAGGAACAGTTAAAATCGCGACCCGTGCCTGGAGCCATGGTTGCGAAGAGGTGGCGCCGGTGGTTGGAGAGGGTTGATCGGAATGTGGTCGAGGCGGGAAGCGAAATGGTTCAGGTGGGGTTTTGATCGTTGACCGGAGATGAGCGACAGCAATCAGAAAAAACAGCTGAGCTGAAAAGAAGAAACAGGCGAGAAGATAAGAAAAAGTGAAGAAATAGATCTGAGATTGGAAACGGTAGTGGCAAGCGATCTGGCTAGAGAACAAGTATGATCAATCAATTCAGGCTAATCAAGACTGACTCGCACAATCGCCGGTCGGGGAATCGGGCTATCTATCAGTGGGTGCCGGAGATAGCAAAAAGGCGGAGGGAAATGTCAGCGGGAAAAAGAGAGAGGCGAAGAGAAGAAAGAAGAAATAATATCGAGAGCAGGAGATTGATGAATCGAACGCGGTAGGTCGGACTGGTCCGGGGGCATAATAATAATAATAATCCGCAGCAGTTGTTTGGCGGGAGTGGAGAGCGATGCGTTGGGTTGATACGAACGATGATCTTGATATCGAGTATTGTACAGAAAATAAAGATGAAATATCACAAGGAAAAATAGTCGAAAAGCAGCCGTACTTGAGAAGATTCGCTTTTGTGAAGCATAAGAAGAGATAGAAGAAATAAAAACGAGAGAGAGAAAAAGGAAGAGGCGTAGTCTTTATTTTTACCAAATACCATAAATACACAATACTCGTACAAGTCTCTGTACTCTGTACAAAACAGAATATGACAGTATCCACAGACCCTTATGATTGGATCAAATGAGCCGAATGAAGTGGGGAAGGGTGGTTCCATTACCGAGCTGTCTTTCCGGTCATTTGGATGGGCCTTGCTCCACTTTTGGTAGAATTTAGGTTAAGGGACCCACATTAGCGCTTGCTGCTATTGTTATTATGATTGGCTTCCCCGGGGACGCTAATCGGGCCGGTGGGTGGGGCAGTAGAGTCAGAACAGTGCTAGTCTGCTTCCGAACTAGTTGTCTGTACGGAGTGCAATAACGTATCATACGCTTACGGGGTACATAGTGTAATACCAGTCATACCATACTGATATGTACGAGGTTGTGCTATTCTGGTTATAATAATAGTTATTATGCTGATACTGTAGTACATTGGACCCGTCCTAGTAAACATTTGTACTCCCATACGGGTATGTACCTTATCCAGACTTGATTCTCGGTAACAAAGTTCAACCATGGCTATCCCCTACTAATCCAGACAACTAGACGTCCCGCCAAGCAATTATCTCCTCTATGACAGCAGTCTAATTAGATAACATTTTCAGCAAGGGACAATTTACCAATCTTTTACTGTTCTATACTGGTCTATACAAAAAAAGATGGAGTCGAGATCGATCTACAACTCAGGTCACATGGTTCAGGGTCTGCTGATCTTGCCGCAGTTCGCCAACAGTTCCCGTTTGGGCCATTCGAGGATCTCCAGGTGTTTACTCTGAATACGCAACTTTCTTCCGTCAATCATGAGCCAGGATACTCCTCTGACGATATGTCGGTGTACTATGTTCTGGTGATAAGTTCTCATCGTGCAGTGTTCGAATTCTACAGGTAATGTCTCGTTCCTTCCCGTCCACTTCTGTTACAAGTTTCTCTGGGGTATTTACTCCGTACTCTGTACTGTACTGGCTTTCGTTTCATGGAGACCACTGTGGATTACGCGCCATGCAGGACATACAGAGTACTCCTACTCTGTTACCCGTACTCCGTACAGAAAAGATCCATCTCGTTTCTGGCCATTCCTCCTTAGCCCAGAAACCGGGTTGGCGATACTGCATTACTATGTTGGAGGGAGCATACGGAGGAATTCCTTCGTGCTTCCAAGTCGGCCACTCCTCTGTATACAACTTGGCCGCAAGGAGACGCGTATCCCCGCATTCTTGTCGATTCGCCGCTGGTTGTGATTTGCGGGAATATATCCTCCAAAGTAGACTCGGCCGCGTTTGTTTCTCATTGGCACTAGATACGAGCCAGACAAGCAAGCAAGAAGGGAATGGGAAGGGCTGTGATAATATCGTGTTGGTCGAGTAGCGGTGAAACAAGCGATGCATGACGCCAGGCATGCATTCGTCCTATGCGGTTCTCTTCTCCTGTTCCATTAAATGACTAACACCAAAATCTCCGACGCAGGTTGATGTGTCGCGATCGAAGTTTGTCGGAATATGGGGCATTCCTTTGTTCTTTGGAGAACATTCGCGTTAGATTAATACGAGTTACTGGTCAGGCCATTTTGTATGGATTTTCGCCATGAAGACGCTACTATCAGATAGCAGAGAGAACCATGAATGACTCGAGATTGTCGGTGTGTCTCTGTATCCTGCAGCACGGATTTCAAGCCACTGCTTATCCCGTTAGTACCCGTCAGCCTTGTGGCCCTTGCAGTGGCAAGTTCACCAAAACTTGAGGCTGATAGACAGAGGAGGCCCAAGACGGAGAACATACCACAACGATCGTGACTACCCGATACCACATGGTTGTTAATCTATCAATACGAACGAACGATTAGGGGCAATTTTTGCAACGAATCACGTCGCTTCTGGCATTCATTTACTTCGGGGGTGCTCCGGAATCCAAGATGAGGTGCACTCCCTCGGTTATCGTGCCATTTTACGCCTTCGCGTCCGAACAAATAATAAACACGCTAACGAATTCCATCAGAATCCTTCAAGGGCATGGTGTGCGAGAAACTCGTACCCTGTACGGAGTAATCTTGGCTCCTCAGAAATGAGCGTCCTGCATCAGCTTGTTGATCATCTGTTCTTGAATCCCGGAATTAATGCACTGGACCCATCAAGCCTACCAGTTCCTTAGGTCTTACATGTGCTCGCAGGGGTTATACACCATACGGAAGATACTGTCAGCACACGCAGTATCGTGGTCTGGGATGGAGCTAGATAGTTTGCGTTTCTGCTGTTTGGTGGCTTACTGCATACCGAGTCATGCTCTCGCAAGGGTATTGCAGATATCTGTCGACGCATGAATCGACATTAACGGACGGTGATATTCGACAAGGATCTTTTCCGAACAAAGCCGGAGAGGCTCAAAAATGGTCAGCTTCAAGGACCATGAAGTATGTACCTGGTTATATCCGATACTACCGTCCTGTAAGCCGCAACAACACCAATGCTAATTGCGAGCATTCTGTAGGAGCGTAGATACCCCAGGCTTATAAAAGTGCTCCTGATAGTCATGCACGTGAATATGCTTATTCATCCTCCCCGGGATCTCCAAATCTCCAAACTTCCTCCACGGCCAAAATTGAAATAAACAACGTCGCCAGATCTTGATTGATTGCATCATGGCGGACCAGGGTCAGCAAGGTCTGCAGGACCAATTGTTTGTCTTAGTAACAGGTGCCAACAGGTATGTGCGGCTTGTTTGTCTGCTCCGTTTGGACAGAGCCCCCAACCTCTCCTGACCACGTTGTAACTCCTCCAATCGGTACTGACATTGAATCTAAAGTGGCCTTGGATTCACTATCTGTTGCCGACTAGCAGACGAATTTCTCAGTTCTCGCTCATCCCACCAAGCCCTCACGATTATCTTCACAACGCGAAGCACAAGAAAGGGAACGGACACCCTGAATCGTCTACAAGAATATCTCCGTAACTCCAAGCCCGATCCTTCGCAATCCAACCGCGTCACCTTCGTCCCCGAGAATGTCGACCTGTGCAACCTCGTCTCCGTTCGCACCCTCTCCCGCCGCCTCCTAAAGACCTTCCCAAAACTCGACTCCATCGTCCTCAATGCCGGACTCGGAGGTTGGACGGGGATTGACTGGCCAAGGGCGATTCTTGGGGTCCTCACCGATCTGGTTCATGAGGTTTCGTGGCCGTCATATAAGGTTGCACCGGCGGGTGTGATTACGGAGAAGCAGATTGCGAGTACAGGCACGGATGAGAAAAATGATGAAGAACCCCGATTAGGGGCTGTTTTCTGTGCCAATGTGTTTGGCCACTATATGCTGGCGCATAATGTGATGCTTCTGTTGAAGCGAGCAGGAACAAAGAACCCGAATAATGGACCGGGTCGAGTCATTTGGGTATCCAGTTTGGAGGCTACGATTAACTATTTCAGTACCGATGACATTCAAGGCCTGCGCACCACGACCGCTTACGAATCCTCAAAAGCCCTGACCGATATCCTTGCCTTGACCTCCAATCTCCCCAGTACAACTCCGTGGGTGAACAGCTTCTATTCCTCTGGCGAGTCGACCCCCGAAGATAGTAAACCAAACATGTACCTCTCCCACCCTGGCATCTGCGGAACCGGCATCCTTCCCCTCAACCTCCCTCTCTTCTACTGCATGATCGCCGCCTTCTGGCTCGCCCGTCTTCTTGGTTCCCCCTGGCACACCCTTTCCACCTATCTCGGCGCCTGCGCCCCCGTCTGGCTCTCCATATCCACACAATCCACCCTTGACGATACGGAAGCACCCTACCTGGCTCACGGTGGCGGACGCGCAAAATGGGGTTCCAGTTGTGATCTCGTCGGTCGTGACCAGCCGGCTTCCACGGAGGTCGATGGATGGGGTCATGGTGGTGTTGTTGGGGATGCAGTCGTGCAGGCGGATCGGGAGAGAAGGAGGAAGAGGGGTGCGGTAGATTTGACCGGTGATGATAGGGAACGGTTTGAGGAATTGGGGAGGGAGTGTTGGAGGCAGATGGAGGAGTTGAGGGTTACATGGGATCGGTTATTGGATAAGGCTGGTGTTTAAGCTTGTCTCTCCTCTTGTACTCTTTTCTTCTGTGTGAACATACTTATATGTATTTAATCCCTAATTTGTTAATCATTTGTATCTAGTATGCATCAGATGTGAAACAATGTGTCAATAATCCGAGCAAGAACAACCAATGAAATCCAATAGAAGCAAGCACAGCCACTGCGTCTTTTAAAATGAATTGATTGCTTTCCTCTCACCATGCCAGCCAGCTCATCGTAGAGGAGTTGTTGCAAAACCCTGCCGGCTTCCCCATATCCATGACCCTCGCAAGGAAGCAGCACCGACAGGGTCTGGCATATATCGCCTTTTAGTTCCTTCGACGAAATGTGCTTGCATGAACCAGTTTCTTCCAGTATCATCGCCTCCCGCGGATTTTGTACATGCCATAGACGACAACAGGGACCTGTTAGATCGTTATTGGCGCGAAGGATCTACACCTTTCCTCAAGAGTGGTTTGATTACAGACCCACTGCATCCGGCGTAACAAGGACACAAGATGTTGCCTAGACCCGAGCGGCCTTGGATATTAATATCTATACCGTGGCTCAATAGTAGGTCGAGTATACTTTCAGGGTCTTTCGCCGATAATACCGCAGAAACATTAGAGTAATCGTCGCCTTGAGAAAGGTAGAATCTGTCGTCAAATAAGAGCTTTAGGAGATGGACATCTTGTTTGTTGATTGCGCGCATCACGGCTTGTAGTCCCGCAGGGCTCTCTTCGGGAAGTGCAACAAACCCATGCTAAAAAAAAAAAAAAAAAAATAAGCTTAAACATAGCTAGATCCCTCCATACTGCAAGTTGTAAGAACTTTGATTGGATCATGTAGCCTCAGTACTCTATCAACAACAATTTAGAATGGCCTTGAAGGCAAGCTGATATTCTCAGCTTTGATCAATTGAATCCTCAGTGCTGAAATCTATTAGGCACCCGCTACAATGAAGCACAAATTGTGGGTATCGACACTGCAAGCAAGCAGAAGAGCTAGGGGGTTACACCTGAGGTCATGATAAACACGGGCAAGACAAAATATCTTCATATTTGTGAGTCCCTTGGGAATGTATGTAACTATTTCGTGGTTTCTCTACTGTAGAGAATTGCTATAGGGGACCGAGGAGCAAGTGGATGGGTCCGGGAGATTATCAAGGCGAGTTTTCCTGGTTTTCCCTGGACTTGTGCTCGGCTTCCTTTTCTTGCTGCCTTAATTTAATACCACCAAGCATTCATTTTCCTAATGACGGGTTGGACGCAATATCATCCAACGGATACAGAGCAAGTCAGTTTACTACCAACTCGAAGAATGCAAGCCAAGAGAATATGAATTCAGAAGTCCTCATTTTACAATCCATAACCCCATGCCGGCGTACATCATTAAAGGAAACAATAGAGTGTGATATCAAGTTGCCCACAACATTCAAGACAAACGCAAAGTAATGAACAAGCAATAAGACAATTCTCACCATATTGAACAGCATCGAGCTGCTATGTCAGAGGGGAGAGATAAAAGTAATGAATCTAGGAATTTGGCTGGGTCCCAGTGGTAACAGATAGAACTAGGGCAAGGGGAAAACGTATAGTTTAAATGACTACTAAAAAGGCTTAGGAAAAAAGACGTCAATCCACATGCACACAACCCCCCATGATCATCAAGACTTGCGAAGGCGCGAGGAAGGCGACGAATCGAATCGAAACGAAGATAATAGGTAATAATAGATAATAATAGAAATAACGGACTCCGGTTCCATGCATCAGGACTGTCGAGAGAGGTATAGGGAAGTTGAATCGAGGTGAAGTATTCGGAGGACGTGGCGGCGTGAGAGTGAGGGAGGAGGTTTTACATGATAATGGCAGGAACTGGAATCGGGTTAGCGGCTTTCAATATAGCCATATAACGAAGAGAACTCACCATCAATGTTCTGCTTGATGCTCTTGTGGGGCAAGATGGAACCACCGTTGACATAGACTTCGTCCGCGATGGTGACATCGTCACCGAGAACAGTGACATTCTCCAAGCGAGACCACTTGCCTACAGAGCTGTTCCAGCCAACGATAGTGGACTTGACCCAAGCATGATCCTTGACCTTGCTGTTCTCCAGGAGTACACAGCGCTGCAGGCGCACACCGTCGCCCACCACGACATTCGGTCCAACTGTCACGTTCGGCCCAATGCGGCAGTTCTTGCCAATCTTGGCGGTCGGGTCCACCATAACGTTGCCTCCGAAAACATAAGGCTCGGAGTTGGAGGCGAGCAGCTTGGGATTGCGCTTGGCAAGGGAGCTGAGGTACAAGCAAGTACCGCTGAGGAAGTCCTTAGGCTGACCAACGTCCATCCAGAACCCTTCGAGGTCGAAAGAGTGGAGTTGACCGTCCTTGCAGATGGCTGGGAAGGTTTCTTGTTCGATGGAGGTCGGGCGCAGTTCAATGCGGTTGAGAACACTGGGATTCAGGAGGTAGATACCGGCGTTGATTCGGTTACCGACGAACTCAACCGGCTTCTCGACGAAACGGTCGATGCGCGATGGGTGGTGAGGCTTGTGGACGACGACACCGTACTTGGAGGGCTCATCTACCTTGGTAACGACGATGGTTCCCTCATCACCATGACGCTTGTGAAATTCTGCGAGATCCTTAAAGGGAAAGTCACAGATGATATCGGAGTTGAGGACGAAGAACGGCGAGTCATCCTTGCCCAGGATTTTCTCGGCCAATTTCAGGGGGCCAGCGGTGCCCAAGGGTTCGGATTCGACGGAGAATTCAATACGGACGTTGTATTGTTCCTCATACTGAGGAAGCAGTTAGTGCATGCTGGTTGTAAGAACGTAAAGGGTAGAAAGCGCACCTTCTTGAGGGTCGAGACCATAACATCCGGACGGTAGTTGACAGCCAACACAATATCGGTCACACCTGCAGCAGCCAAGCTTTCGACTTGGTGCAGAATCATAGGCCGGTTTCCGAACTCGACCAGGGGTTTGGGGAGCGTCAGGGTCTAATTTGACGAGTACGATTAGCACGGGCGCAGGCATCAGGTTATTCTCGGCGGGGAACAATACCAAAGGGCGCAGACGGGTGCCAAAACCTCCGACAAGAATGAGAGCTATTGGTGTGACGTTAGCGGCGCAATGACCAGGAAGATGTGAATAGCACGTACCCTTCATATTGATGGTATTAGAATGGGGTAAATATTAGGTATAGCGGTTGGTGTGAGGCGAAGAAAGGAGGAGGGGTTTGTTGTATGTGTTGCCAGGAACGAACGACAGGCTAAAGAAGCGCTACAGGCAACGGGAGAGAACCGGTAGACAATTGAGGATGGTATAACACAATAAGGAATTAATTGATTGATAGAGAGAAAAAAGGATGAATAAATAAAGTGAAGAAAGATGGAATGGAGAAAAGGAAGTGAGAGAGAGGAGAGAAAGGGGAAACGGGCATCCGAGGAAGAGATATTAGGTGGTCTTTAATTTTCTGTTACAGCTATTATTGGGTCAGGCTACACGTTTGCATTTGCGCCACCCCTGGAGAAAAGATTGTCTTGTCTTGCATTGAATCTCATTTTTTCGTCTAATTAATCTTTAAATTCTATATAACTCTATGGTTGGTTTTTCTTTGTTTCGCGGTCTGCAGCCCGCCGACTCCTGCATACAGTATCTCTATACAATCTATATGAATACACCACTACTTCATACATTCAACAACAACTCTCTGCAATTGCTAGTGACGATGCCTTCGGGAATTCCTTGGACGTATGTACGATGGCATAATGCCCGTCTCAAGTGACCGGACCGTCATTGCATGCTGTCGATGTCATCCCACCTCATTTTTTGCGCATCATGACTCTCACATGCACATCAAGCCCCCCTGCCGAACGTAAGAAAAGGAAACCAAAGCAATGTAGTTATATATTCCGGGGCCGTTATACCATTTCTGGCGTATCCGGAGGCAGTGTCTGGCCACGTTTCATGCGACGCATTCCCCCAGCCTCATCACCGCCTGCTGGTTCCGGCGCCAATACAAAGCGTTGGATCCACTCCCGCACGCGGCGGGCCTTGACTACCACCGGGTCTTCTCTATCGCGGCCGGTGTCAAGCAGACGTCGCAGGCCATAGATCCCTCCTGCGTCTGTAGCATCTACCCGTTGGTGGTGGAGCAGATCGATTTGGGTAACCCCCTTGCGTAAGCTTTGTCCATACACCCGTTCCCGGAATGAACTCAATCCGACCATGCGGAGAAGTACAATATCACGCGGCCGCAAACCATCCAGAGATCGTCCCAGCCCGTCATTGTTGCTGCTGCCATTGTCAGTACGCCCAGATTCGGGAGGAACCCAGAATGTAACACCAAAACCGCTGCGTGTTTCATCTCCGACAACCATTTCGACAATGTTCACTTCTTGTTTCCATTGTCGGGTAATCACGCGACGAGGTGGGTGGATTGTAATGATTCCCACGATGAGATTCACCGTCACGGTCTGGGGTACAATAGAACGTAGGTAGCTCGCGCTGGGGATGTCTTGAAGATCGCAGACTTGTCCTTGGATAGATATAAAAGACGGTTGTCTCGAACTGTTTTGCTTACTACTGGAAGTCGATGCGCTAGAAGTCATGGTACTGTCTACCCAAAGGCCACTCTCTTGGAGAGGAGAGTACTGCAAGAAAGACATTGGTGCGGAAACTTCGGAGGCCTCATGTACGGCAAAAGAATGGTCATAGAACTGGGAGAGAACTGAATACTTCCCCGCTGTGTCTGTAAGACCTTCCGTTGTGAAAGAAATCGTATCGCGATTCGGCTCCAGTTCAATATCGTCATGTGCTTGTTCTTTTGCAGGGATTTGCTGCAACAGGCGCCATTTTAAAGGATGATCGTCTGGAAAAGGCCAGGCTTCTTGGGGATGGCTGTCGGGGCCGTGGAATGGGGATATTGGGGTGTTGAGGAGCTTGTCTTCATCCCACTGTAGGCTTCTGAATGTGGGAGCTCCCATGAGAAGAATGACCTTGGACATGCTTAGGGAAGCAAATATATAGCCAAGAGGCCATTAATTGACTAAGCCTTTTCGTGGTCCTTTAATTCGTTCATGACACAAACGACGATGAGGTTCAAGCAGTATTTCAATCAGTCATGGTCGTCTGTTTCTTGCATTCGTCAGTGTCATATCATCTCAGCCAGGCCTACTGATTTTTCGTTAGTACCACGGAACCCAAGAACAGTTGTACCCGACTGAGCCATAGTTGCACCTACTCGAAGGCATCCATTGTATCCCGCCGTCTGTACGATCGTGCAAAGGCCCTAAAAGCCAAGTTGCAAAGGTGTCGTCCAAAGCGAGTCGTTTGTTCTGGACGATTCTATAGTTGCCTAAGGAATATACACGTGATCTACGGCGAGTGCTGCGAGCTATAGTGGCAAATCCCGCCCTATGACTAATCCGCAACACCCGAATTGAGGCCACCGCGGAGACCAAGGCAGCCCATTGTAGCCTGCAGCCCACTCCATCTTCCTTGTCTTGTCTCTGTCAAACGTTGTTATTGTCATCGTGAGGTTTTTTGCGATGGCAGGTTCGTTCTTTCTTGACTGATTGACACATTCTCTTCCTACAATATCTTCTGGGGTCTTCTCCGAAGCGGCACTTTTCCATCGATTGCCGCGGCCAAGCGCCGCTCTGCTTCAGACGACAATGGCTTTCCAAGCCCCGATTCTCAGGCCGGTAAGAATTACCCTTATGCTCTATTCACTGCGGTACTCGCTGTATACTGACAAGCTTGGCTTTACCAAACAGAACTTTGTGGCCGCTACTACGTCGGGGGCCCGGCCTTTGATGTCAACCTTCCTTACTGCTTCACCATGGAGTAAGCTCGAGCGCATCTCTCCTCTTTCTACTAGACAGTTCCAGAACAGCTCTCTCGTCTCTCGTCCCTACTCGTCATTAACTCAGCTCGGTTTGAATCGTTTTCGTCAGCTACCCAAGGTCAACCCCATTTCGAGGATACAACAAAGGTTTCTGTTTGGAGGACCGTCCCATAATCTATTGGCGCAAAAGGAAAAGACCGCGAACAATAACCCGAACAGTGCAAATGCGCAGGCTACTTTCTACCAGGCTTTGCTTCAGGCTAATATGCCGGCTATCATTGTCGAACGCTATCGCAGTGGTCACTTTGCCACCAACGCCGTGACCGACTCGATTTTCCTCAAGGCTACGCAAAGCATGGGCGGGGACGTTGCGGCAGGGTCATTCGCAGGTCAGAATCCGAATGTCAACCCGGAACAGCTTCAGGCAATTGGGCAAGCAGTCGCGGCACGGAACAGCCACGGCGGACAAATTGGACTCGCGGCCAAACAAGGCGGCACCGGGGCGAAAGAATCTCCGTTGTACGTTGTGGTTGAGGAGTCGCTGGGAAGTGCCGTTTTCCGCTGGGTCAAGTTTTTGTTTTGGTTCGGTTTCCTCACGTACATGTCTCTCATTTTGGTCGCCATTCTGGTTGAAACCACTGGGGTTCTGAAGAACATCAAGGGTCCGCAGAACAACGAAGCACAGCCTCAGGAGCAGAATGTCCGGTTTAGTGATGTGCATGGATGCGACGAGGCCAAGGATGATCTTCAGGAACTGGTTGAATTTCTGCAGAACCCGGAACGATTCTCTTCGCTTGGTGGTAAGCTGCCTAAGGGTGTTCTTCTCGTTGGACCCCCTGGAACCGGAAAGACTTTGCTTGCTCGTGCTGTCGCTGGTGAAGCTGGGGTCCCGTTTTTTTACATGTCTGGATCGGAATTCGATGAAGTGTACGTGGGTGTTGGTGCCAAGCGTGTGCGAGAACTCTTTTCTCAGGCCCGGACCAAGTCACCTGCTATCATCTTCATTGACGAACTAGATGCCATTGGTGCCAAGAGAAACGAACGGGATGCGGCATACGTGAAACAGACTCTGAACCAATTGCTAACCGAGCTCGATGGGTTTTCGCAAACTGAAGGCGTGATCATCATTGGTGCGACCAACTATCCTCAGCTACTGGACAAGGCCTTGACTCGACCTGGTCGGTTCGACCGCAAGGTCGTCGTGGATCTTCCAGATGTGCGCGGACGAATTGATATTTTGAGACACCACATGAAGGACGTACAAATCGGCACGGATGTCGATCTGGCAGTTCTTGCTCGCGGTACTCCCGGTTTTTCTGGCGCGGAACTGGAGAACTTGGTCAACCAGGCTGCTATCAAGGCCAGCCGGGATCACAAGAACAAGGTTGGGCCAAAGGACTTTGACTGGGCCAAGGACAAGATCATGATGGGCGCGGAAGCTCGCAGCCGGGTTGTTCAGGACAAGGACAAGCTCTCGACGGCATATCACGAGGCTGGCCATGCGCTTGTTGCATACTTCACGCATTCATCTATGCCACTGTACAAGATTACCATTGTTCCCCGTGGCATGGCCCTGGGTATCACGCACTTCTTGCCGGAGATGGATACGGTTTCTCGAAACTACACGGAATACCTGACCGATATCGATGTGTCGATGGGTGGTAGAGCGGCAGAAGAGCTGATCTACGGAGCTGACAAGGTGACCAGTGGAATTTCATCAGTATGTCCCCTCACCTCAAAAAAAAAAAAAAAAAAAGGCCATGCTAATAGTATTGATAGGACATCCAAAACGCCACCAACACCGCCTTCAACCTCGTAACCCGCTTCGGCTACTCCAAGAAACTCGGCAACGTCGACCTCTCCAGCAACTACGACCGTCTCTCCTCGGAAACCAAGCAAGAAATCGAAGGCGAAGTCCGCCGCCTCGTCGAAGAAGGCCGCGCGCGCGCCACAACCATCCTTACCGAAAAGCGCCACGAACTCGAAGTCCTCACCAAAGCCCTCATAGAATACGAAACTCTTACCAAAGAGGAAATGGAACGTGTCCTGAGGGGCGAGAAACTTGATAAACTCGAGTCCACGCCATCGGCTCCGCTTATGTTACCGGAGAGTTTACAGGCTGCGCCGGGGTTGTCGAATACCCATCATCCTCCTGGGCCTGGGTCAACGACGGGTACGGGGGAGGCTGCTGATGGCGCATAGTTTGTTTCATTTTCTCTTTCCTTGTGTGGATTTTCTTCGTGTTCATTTTTATGATCTTTTTCTTTTGCCTTTTTCGATATCATATTTTCTCCTTGTTTCTTAAAGATTTCTTTTG